ATCGCGTTGGGTATCGCAAGCGCGAGCTCGGCGGTCGCGGGTATTTTCCGCGCGCGCGTTACCGGTGTGTGCGCGCGCGTGGACGGGCACGCACGTGTTAGATGGATTACCGTTACTCTGTGTCCGTCCTCAAGGTTGTGAACTAGAGCGTCGCGTCGGTGTGCGGGTACGCCGTCCGAGAAGAGGGCTTACTTTTAAACCTTTCCGCCGAGTCCCGCAACGGAATCTTCGGCTCCGTGGCGTGCATGAGCGTGCATGACGATTCGCGAGATCCCGACGCCGGGTCGGCCTGTTGAATTTGTTTGCTAAGTTAGCCGTTCGCTATCTCTCTCTCCGCGGCTATCGTGCTGGCCCGAGGCCGGATCGGTTCCATAGTGCAACTATCGTTCTACTGTGTTAGAGTCAATATTCTCTGCCTAGCGATAATCCTTTTTTTTTTTGCTTTTTGCTATCTCGATGTTTTCTGTTACTGTACTGTCCTTCGCTTCTGCCTAGTAAACACGCTTATTATTTACTTAGTGGAGATAATTGTGTTCGCGCCCTACCCTCGAAGATCCCGTCCAGACTCCTGTTAACCGGCCCTTACCCGTACCCCCCCCCCTCTGCCGTTAAGTAGAGCTAGCCAGCCCTCACGCGAGCGAGAAACGGCTCTCGGTTTTTGGTGACTACCGGAGTTTCGCGGTTTCTGTGTGGTTTGCGTTCCCGTTCGCGAAATCGACGTTGCTTGGAAGCACGTCTGGCGCCCAACTTTGTTGCGGCTCTCGATTCTCGCTCGATCGCGTGAGGTACCCTCTCGCATGAGGGCCGTCGCCGGCCCTCCGATCCGATTGATCCGCCGTTCCCCGGAGTGCGCTCCCGCGCGCGCTCCGCACCTAATCGACGCCGGGGAAAGACAATATTATTTATAATTTTTTTTCTCTCTATTATTATGTTTTTATAATAAATTTATATTAATTTCAAAATGAACATCTTTGCCCAATAGGGCATTTATTTAAAACCTCTCGTATCCCGTATTCCCATTAGCATTCTTAAGTTCGCACATAGTCCAGTCCTGGATAAAAAGGATTAAGTTCCTTGACCCGAAAGTAGGACCGACGTTCGCACTGCTCAAAGGAAACAGGTGTCATAGGGTCCCTTCGGGACGATGACCTATATTCCAGAGCAATAAAAGGTTCGACTTTCTGGTGTTCGCCTCTACGCGCATACCTGAGAGACTGAGTCTAAGGCCGGTATTCATAGTCGGTTCTTATTTTAAGATCGTCTTAAGTAATGTCTTAAGTCGCTAATGCGGCCTTCCGATTGGTTCATGACTTCTTAAGACTGTACTTAAAACGATCTTGAATATAAGATCTGACTATGAATACCGCCCTAAGCGTTCTTCCACACCCTCTCATTTCCCTCCTTATCTCCTTCAATCAAATCTTCCGAGATCTTGGACGTAACAATTTAATATAAAATAATTTAATATACATGTAATTACAATACTTACAGATGACATTTTTCACCTTTTCAATGCTCCTTTTAGTTGAATTTTTTCAATATTATTTTTAATCTCTAGTGATTATTGGTGATTGACAGTACAAAAAAATTTCCGTTTCCGAAAAATATGCCCCATGGGAAGCTAGGCTACTTAAAATCGGAACAGAACGATGCTGATTAGTTGCCTCTACTACTTCACTTTTCCGATTCCGTGTTTCGATTCCGTTTTCCGTGCCCATGGGACAGCACCCTTAGGCTCATTTGACGCGTTTTTGCACGAAACGAAAGAATCTGTAAGAAAAACCGTTGGGTCTACCCCGCGAATCGAGATATTAAGCGTAATGGCCGCAGCACAGACTCTTGCATAACGCATAACACGTAATGCATAAGAAAATGTACCAATCAAAGTACTTCGTTTTCTTCTTTTCCATGAAATAAAGAATTCTGAATGGCTGAATTTCTTATGCTTTATGTGTTATGCGTTATGCAAGAGTCTGTGCTCCCCGCTTAAATCCTGTCAGACATGAAATGCATAAGCATAATATAATACCGCTGAGCCAATGAGCATCTTATATAAATCAATATGACCATTATGCTGGATGCTTATTGATTCAACAGTCTTACGTTATGCTTATGGTGTATTACCCCGGATCTACAATAGGGTTTTAAGCCTTAAGCCATAAGAAATGGGCGAATCACAGTCGACTATTCTCCTCGAATTAGACTGTAATTGGTCAATTTCTTACGAGTTAAGGCTTGAAACACTTATTGTAGATCCGGGATTATGCATTTCATGTGTGACAGGCTTTAGGATATATCCACGCAACCCACATAGCCGCATATACGTACGCATAAATAAAATTATCCAATCACATTTTACGTGCTTATAGGAGAAGTGCGAATGGATAATTTTCTTTATATGTTTATGCGGCTATGCAAGTTTGTGTGGATATACCCTTAAAGTTGACGACTATTCAGGTTAGGAAATCTGTCACAAGTCACGAAATACTGCAATACGAGCACGCGTTATGTCTAATTCACACTGGACGCAGCAAGCGTCAAGCAGCGGAACGGCAATCAACCAGCAAGGCGATGTTGTTACGTAACTGTAAATATCGCCTCACTGATTGGTTGCTACTCCGCTGCTTGACGCTTGCTGCGTGCAATGTGAATTAGGCATTACGATTACATTTTTATGCTCTATGACCATGTGCGCATGCGTTTTAAGTACTTCTTATTTAGGATTCACACTGCGTACGGCATCCGATGTACACGACGATAGCAATAAGAGAATTCGATTCTAGTTAGTGACATTTTTATCTACGTATACTTTGTATAGATTAGAGTCCTAGATTTATCAGAGAGGCGCAACCGGCTTAAGTCAGTATGACAAAGGTACTAGGGAGGGTACTAAACATGGCTGACATGCTATGAAACTGCCTTTAAACTGTCAAACAAGATAAGACAAAGTAATATAAAATTATATTTAAATGAATCGTATCAATTCTTTAGAGGGAATATTTATGTATTAATAAGTCAGTTGATTAATTGTCATTATAATCGCTTTTGCTTATCATCATAACCTCTTAATTTGCACTGCTGTTAACGGAGTAAAACTTTACTCGATGGTAAAGATTCTCGATAAAATTATTCTTGAAATTAAAAAAAAATATTATTGCATTACTCAGATAAATAATTCTGTATGATACGTAGAAGATTTGCACATGGTTTAATCTATGGAGTATTCCAACTGTTTGGAATGAAGTAATTTTAAAGTCATTTATGATTGCTTGTTTGTAAATTAAAA